TCTGTAAGCTGCTTGCCCTTGCTTACGAGGGGCAAGTGTGCGATTTTGCAGCGAGTGCTAAAAACCTCTGTTTAGAGACAGGTATTGAAGTCGTAGGCTTCCGCGACCAGAGTCATGTGGGTGATCTGGGCTGTCCGGGTGATGCCGCGTCGAAGGCTGTGTTGCCGACGTTTCGACCATCCTGTCGTGGTCCTTCCTCAGGGCTTGTATGCGCCGTGATTGTCAGCGCTCCTGTGTTTATCCATGTATGGGCCGAGTACTATTGGCTGAAGCAAAGGCCAATCGGAGACCGCCAGTTAGCAGCGCGGGGGGGGAGTCAAACCGGGTGCCGCGTGATTGGACGGCGTTGCGCGTGATCGGAACGGTCCGTCAGGCGGGTCGGAGTGGTTCGGGATCGGACGGCGAGAGCCGGTCCGCGATTGGCCCGCATGGCGCGGCCTGGGGTCGGACGGCGTGAAGCGGTCCGGTTCGGTGAACACCTGGTCGTGTGCCCGAAGTAACGGCTTCCAAGCATCGGCGCAACCCTGCGTCGCCGTTAATATTATTAGGGTGTCTGGCGATCTCCATCGATTCCTTGACGCATCTGGGCCACTATCGGTCTTCTTTGGCGAGCACCCTGGTGTCTTCGAAAACGAAATCATGCCCGGTTTCCCAAGCATGCTGGGCGACAGCGGAGCGTTCGATATTCCCCTGTTTGAAGTGGTGGATGTGCTCACGCAGCCTTTCCTCCACCGTTCTGCCGGTCTCGCCGATGTAGTTGCGACCGCAGCTGCAAGGTACCGCGTACACTCCCGCTGTTTGGAGTGGTGGTAGAAGGTCCTTAACCCGCACCAAAGTTTGGTCGAGCTTGTGGTGGGCTTTGAAAATGGTTCTAACGTGGAAGCGCTTCAGCAGCTCACCCAGGTATTGTACATGTTTAATAACAATTGTGGAGATGTTTCCACAATTGACTTAAAAACTTCCGCCTCTAAACCGGCTGGTCCTGGTGCCTTTTCATTTGTTAGAGATCATACCGCCTATACCAGATCCCCTTTGCTGTAGATAATATTCCCCGGTTCATCTTCGACTTCCCATCCAACAGGGTACTTTGGGAAGAGAACCTCCACTACGCTCGTCATGTCTTCTGAGCTGAGGGTGCCTGTGGGTCTAAGAACCCTTAGTTTCTAGATGACAATTTTGTGCCTCAATCCCCAGGGATCTGTGTCGGCTTCCGCGCATAGTTTATTCCAAGATTGGATTTTGCTAGTGTTTCGGAGTATCTTATTCGCACCCTTATGCTCCGCAGAGAGCTCTGAAAGCTCTGTAGAGTTTATTCTTCTGTGAGCTCCCTGTGCTTTTCTGTGGAGTCTTATTTCAGTCAGTTTTTCCTTTATTCCGCTATTTCTGCTGTTCACCAATAGGCCGGATGTTTGCCATTTCCTCTCTTTCAATGGGCATAGAGGCGTCTCATGCTTTGGTGATAAGGTTCATGGTTGCCTCTACGAGGATCTCCGGCGTCTCTACTGGTGGTTTGAGGATACTCTCCAGACCACACTGGATACTAGTCTGAAGCGTTCCTTTGTCCATTTTCGCGGTGTTCCGTTGTTTTTATCGTTTTATGGGGTGAGCTTCGTATATCCCTCGTCTTTCCTTGTCACATATCTGGTGTAATAAATATTGGTGGTTACTACCAGTGTAATCCTCTGTGGCTCACCCGCCTCGGTCCTTAGACGCTAATCTCTCCGACATGAACGTGATGTCTGGAATAGAGTTTCCGAGCCCATGTCTTCTATAGGTGGGCGTGGAGCCCTTGGTTAAGCCTATCAAACGCAGTCGCGGCCATTTCCTCTTGGGTCTCCTCGAAGCCTGTTTCATTGTAGTGCTCTCGCGTTTGAGTCCCCGGCCACCATGACCTCAGTATCGACGCACATAGTACGCACGACGGGCTATTCTGGCATTCGGTACGTTCGTGCCCTGTTTTACCACATCTCCAGCACAAGTCGCTCCTGTCCGGTCCTTCGCAGTCTTTTTTCACGTGACCGTAACAAAGGAAGTTATAACAACGGAGGTCAGCGATTCTCCTATGACTTGACAGTTGACCCAGCTTATTTTAATGCGATGTTTGTGAAGTAGGGGGATGGGTACCGCTTCCTCCATCTCCACAATGACCAGCCTTAGCTCACGCTTAGGCTGCAGCAAGTTACCTTCACGTCGTTCGGATAAGCATTCATTTCTCTTTGGATAGCAGGCCTTACCTCTTCATCTGTTGTCAGTCCAAATTTCGTACCTCTATGCGTGCCCATAGTAGCAATTTGCACACGACACACGTATCCGCTACTGCATTCTGCACTATCTTGTGGAATGATTTGCACTCTTGGGACTGGTTGCCCAGATCCACCAAGGCGTTGCCGCGTCTCGTCTTCCGTATGATACCTTTTTTGTCTTCCGACCTTATCTCGCTACGAAGGATAGTGATCACTTCTGCAAAAGTTTTGCCTTCAGTCAATTTGGTAAGTACTGTATTCCTGCGGTCATTAACTTTCTTCTTGTTTTGGACTCAAGAGGTTTTGTCTTTCATTCGTGGCTTCTTTTTTTCCCGGACCTCCGTCAGTTGCCTTTCTCCTTCTGGGGTTCGTTCGTGCTAGCAGTGGCGCCAATATCTCCCTCTTGCTCGTTCATGCGTTCGTTTTCCTGTGCATGTGTGATAGGCATCGGCATGGTCTTGCACAACATTATTATTATTATTATTATTATTATTATTATTATTATTATTATTATTATTATTATTGCTTTTTCGCACTTACTAACGTAAAAAGACAATTTATTGTAATCGTGCACAGAAAACAGCGAATTTTCCATACAAATTATTGCCGGGCTCTTATTGCCGGGCCCTGGTAAGGAAAGAGTGGATAAATCGAGTTGCTAATTAAAGAAAAAATTCTTCTAACACGTGGTGTAGCCAGAATCCATGTTTTGTGCGTCCTTCATACCGAAAAATCGATTGACGGCAAAACGTGTCTATCCGTCCGTCTGCGCACAACGCTAGCGCATTTACCGTTCAGCCAAAATTGATTTTATCCAATCGTTCCAGTTGATGTCGCCAAAATTTTTTGAATTGGAATTGGAATTTGAAACCGAATTTTTTATTTTGGGCGTACTTTACATGTAGCCCCTGGAATATTTTCAAGACAATGACTCCAAGTCTTTTGATTAAATTTTGGATTTCATTTCATTTTGGATATCCAAATAGATTTGCAAAGACAGACTAACCATACAATTGAAGGGGTAATGAGCAGGCAATATTTGTAGGTGAAAATTCAATAAGAATTGCAAATAAGTACACTTTTTTGTGAAAAGTTAGTGACAATAACAGAAACACTTATTTATTAAGCTAGGAATACTACAATTGGTTTGCCTATTTATTTACGAATCAGTGGTATTCCTCAAAATTATCTTACTCAAGGCTATTCAGTTGAATGATATGTATAAAAATATGATGAAATGAAAAAAGAACATGTGTTTTAAACTAACAAATTATATTTGTATTAGGATATGTATTTTTTTCTTCAAACTAAACTGCAAATCTCGCTGACAAAATTCTATATTTCAGGTTGCAGAACCGAAGCCTCTTTGACACCTGTAATGAAAACATACATTTGAAAAATCTAATGCAGAAACAATACACCGAAATTTCTCATACATTATATATTAAGGATGTACACTTTATAAAACATTATTTTCATAAAACAATGACTTGTAAAGCTCTTAAGTTGCCTGAAACGTACGAAATAGTACCATACTAGATGAAAATAAGTCAGGTTACGAAGTAAACTCAATATACTTTAATACAATAAACTGATCTGTTGTTTCAATTGGGCCGTGTGGCTGGCAAATGCAATTTTTAATAAATTTGATAAAACATTCAAATGCAACATGCAGTAATTTATTTCTCATTCAAATACATTAACTCATTATAACTCGAAATATTTCACTTTCCGATACAGAGGGAAACCAGACGATACCTTTTTTTCTTTTTCATGGAGCTCATCATATTGCCATCGTAATCTGCAACTCTTGATATTACTCGCGCAACTTTTCTTGAACGATGACCTTGCTGCCCCCTCTCTGGCACAATAAACAGATGAAGGCAAAAACACGCAGCGAGCACTGATGACAACATTACAAACAAATCTTCACTGGCGCGAAATAGAAAGAATATTATTTTGAAGACGAGAAGATCTATCAGTTATTTTCTCCCAAAATCTAAAGAAATGACCGAAGAAGATAGAGATGTATCACAGGAGATACCTCAGACTCCTAATAAAATTAGAACGCAAATTATTGAGAACGTTACGAAGGCGTGACTGATTCCCCAGAGATTGGCATTGCTTCATAAAATCTAATGGCCGATTTGGTAACTAATACCCCCACTCTACCCGCATTTCTTCCATCCAGCGTTAAAGAAAAGTTGCGCGAGTAATAACAAAGTACTCCACCAAACATAATTCGCAAACGAAATTACACAAACAAATGCGATGCAATGTTTATCCACAAGGAAGAATTGAAATTGAAGATGAAATGAATGATAGAAGTTTCATAAGCTTGCACCGCTTCCTGACGAGCAAGTTATCGAAGTAGCGTTTGAAATTACGCCTGAACCTTGAAATAGATGCCGCCACATGGAAACGACGCTGGCGCATCCTCTAGGCCATTATCTCAAACAGCGAGAGTTTCACCTCCTATTATATTATATTCCTCCATGCCTCATTTTTCAAGATTCGTTGCGTGTGAGAGCCGCAAAAGTTATGTATGCTACTGAAATAATATAGGAGTCGATGGAAAGAAAGATGGATTTCATGCTAGTTGGTCGAATTGTGTAGCGGGTAGCGTTAACGAAATTGGGGGGGGGGCTCTTATTCTCCGCAAAGAGAAGGTCGGCATTGCCACCTCCAAGGAGTATAAACTCCTTGCCCCAGACAATGCGCTTTGGCGGAGGGATACATTTCGGTTTGTTTACATCCACTTCTGACGTTGGATAAATAATAGGTGGCGTTGGTTTTACCATCGATCTCCCTGTGCAGTTCATACAGTTTTTCTAAAGGACGCTGCCTCGGAGGCGTAGAATTTAATACTGCGTAGATAAATTCTGCTATTCAACCAACCGCAACTTTCCACATTTATGTACGATTCCAGGTGAAAAGATGATCATCAAAGGTAAGTATAAAGTAATTATAGTGTACTTGTAACACAGTAAACACAGTACAGTTTTACAACAGTAACTATTGTAATTGTGCGCCGAAGAAGGGCAAATTTTAGTAAGAAAAACTTATTGCCTGGCACAGGAAACGAAAACTTTGATTGTTCTTCATATATTTAATAAATGACTCTCTTGTAATACGTAATGTAGCCAGAATTTGTGTTCTCTGTGTCGTTTGTACTGAAAAATCCATTGAGGGCAAACAGTGTGTCTATACGTATGTGTTCAACGCTAACACTTCAACCGTTTTGTGAAGTTCATCAAAACTTTACAAACTTTATTCGAATTCAGAGAATTCGAGGCCCCTTAGTTTGAAACTGATATATTGATTTTTACGTTTACTTCACATGATGCTCTTACTTCGTAAGAAGTACTGTAATCGTGCGCCGGGAAATAGCGAATTTCTGACAAAAATCTTTTATTTCTAAGCTTGGAAACGAAAAAAGGGATAAATCATTTTCATATATGTAGTTAATTACTTCTCTAAAAGGTAGTGTAGCCAGAATCCATGTTTTGTGGGTCCTGGACACTGAAAATTTTATTGACGGCAAAACGTCTGTGTCCATCTGTGAACAACGCTAGCAGCTAAACTGTTCAGCCGATTTTCTCTAAAATTGGTATTCCTCGATCGATCTGGTTGATGTAGAGTCTCTTTGAATTTGAAATCGATATTTCAATTTTGGCAAGTTCTTTACATGAAGCCAATGTAACATTTTCAAAATTTTCAAAGAACATGGCGCCATCGATTTTTAATAGCTGTGTTGTTGGATAGGCAGAAGAACGTTTAAGAGAATGGCGTAGGTCTAATGGTGGTTGTCGATTTTTTGAAAATCAAATTTTTTTTGTCATTTTCTACAAGTAAAATAATCAAGATGAGATTTTTCCCTTAATAAACTTTGATCTTTAAAGATAGAATTTGAAAAGAGGTAATATTCAATTTTTCGTTAATTTGATTATTTTTCGCGTACTTTTGCGTGAATATACGCAATTTTTAATTTTTGATTAAACATTTTTTTCTTAAAAATGGCTCCATTCTTTTTTGTTGAAATTTTGTTAGTGGATACTCTATAGAACGTTTAAGAGAATGATGTAGGTCTCATGCTGGTTGATAACCCTAATTTTTTATGAATTGATACAATTGTAAAACATTTCGGCGTCTTCCTACACCTGCAATTACGAATTTACATTATTACTTTCCCGAATACATACATATATACGGGGTAATATACGTAGTATAGAGAAAGTTATATAATGTTGCGCGAAAAAACGGCTGATTTTCGGCATAGAAAAAGTCATTGCCGGGCCAAGATAACGAAAATAAGGATAAATCCAGTTGCTAAATTAAGAAAAAAATTCTCTAACAAATGATAAATTCATTTGTTTGGGTGCCACGCTTGGGGCTCATTCAGTTTTGGTACTTTTTGAAAGTATTTAAGAAGAAAATATGATACATTTCAAAATTTTCCCCTTCGAGGAAATTTTTTGTACGAGTAAGTATAAGGTTAAGGTGATGGAGAAGAGTTAATGGAAGGTATGAAACAAGATTATTGAGAGTAACAGTTTTGGAAGTAGACGAAAGAGTGGATAGCGTGGAAGAAAAAGAAGGAAAAATAATAAAGGGGATGTTTGACTATATAAGACGTAGAAGATGAGTTCGGTGTAGGGTTCTATACAAAAAATGCTGAAGAGGGAAAGAGGTTTAGGAAAGAGTGATAGAGTATGTAATAAATCATCAAGGGTGAAGAAATACGAAGGGAATTGAATTATTGCCTTGTTTTAGTTGGCGAAACTCAGGCCATGAGGCCTGCTCTTCCGTCTGACCACGCAAATTTCGCTACGCTCCTTTCAGCAACTAACAGAGAAAGGAGATATTTCTTGGGCGATTGAGAAACAGGCGATTTGAATTTAGTTCCGAGGCATTTAGGCTTGAGGATAGGAAGTAAATCTACTGACATGGTTCCCCTCTGAAGGATTTTTTCGCTCTTAAAAATTCACGGCCTCGATCGGGCCAACTTGGGTACAACAGTCCGGTACGCTAACCGTTGCGCTATCGCCGCACAGGAAGTGGTATAGTGGTGCAGTGTGAATCTTTGACGTGTTTCATTTCCTTTACAGGTGATGGTAAGGACCAAGAATTGGAAAATGGAGCTAAAGTAAATAGGAGAACCGAATGTGTGTGCCGTGTGTCCGGTGAGGAAACTTCAAAACTTTACTTTAAGTAGTTTTAAGTAGACAATTTCGAGTCTTTATTTTTCTTTCTTCGAGTCTCCGACTAAGAGTCTCCATTTTTTAAACTTAAATTAACCGAACGTTAAGCAAACACAGAAAATATTGTTATACCTCTTTTTTAAAATCACACTAATATCAAACTTTGTTGTACTAAAACAATTTTGTACTAGTTGTAGTTGTAGTTTAAATGGATGATTCTCCGTTTAATGATCAAATTAAACTTCCAAGGATTTATTCGTCGGGCATACATGTTGCAGTGTCATTTGACACGATATATATGAGTGTTTCTTTAAATACATTGAAACGCGGTGCATTATTTCAAAAACATATATTTTGAATTGCGCGGTAACGGCGGCAAGTAGCTGACATCAGGGAACGGGTCAAGCGCGAAAAGGCGCTGAGACCGGGCAAGACGAAAGCAGTTAGTAGGTAAGAGAACTCGAATAAGAGCGGAGCGGTGTGGATGCGCGCGGTGAAAAAGGAACAAAGTGAAGTTAAATAACGGAAGAGACGTCATTAGGGAGTGAAACTAAGTGTGACAATGGCCGGTAATAAAAAGTGCAAGCACGAGGAAGCGAAATAGGTGTCGGGAACTGTGGTGACAAAGAAAAAACTATAGACCGCATGGCTGGTAACGGCCATAGAGAGTTGCCACGTGTATACGTGATTTTGAAAGGTAAACGAAGTAGAAACTTAAGGTTCGCCGACGTCCGCCGATCGCCGCAGTCGCTGGGGAGCATCCGCGAAGAAACGAACGGTTTATGGCATTCAAGGTATTGTGTAATTTGAGCTCATAGTTATAGTTTTGGTACCAAAACGGGAAGTAATTAGACTGGAATTGATGTACTAAATTGTGATTCTAGTAATAAAGTGTTTGTTTGCTTTAAAAAATTGAAAATTGAGTTTTTCGAATGCGTTTGCCAAACCTTCAGAGGCCCATTCACGAACTAAGACACCTGTCCCTTCTAAAATAAATGTAGTGAATAGTACCGCATTGAAGGTACGTCACAATATATATATATATATATATATTATATATATAATATATATACTATATATATATATATATATTATATATTGAAAACAAAGTTGATCAATAATTAAAATTAAAATAAGTACTGAATTGATCAGAGATTACCCCCGTGCACAACGGTCAAATCGGGGGGTAGACGGCGAGGCGAGCGACGGTTGGGAGAGTGTGCGCGGAGAGGCCGTGAGTAAACACGGACGGGGCAGTGCTGTATCAAATAATTATGGTGGTGTTAAAGAACAGTTTGGATTGAATATGGCGGTTAGGTGAGAGACTAGATTTGATGAAAGTTAATAATCAGATGGTTAGTGAAAGTGGAAGTGCGCAACAGGACCGAAATCAAAACATTAATACAGGAATTCGCGTGGCCGACGGACACGTGTTATATCTCCGCCCGGATGTAATGCAGCAGCGGGCCGTGCAGTGCAGACATTCGCGCGAGATTGAAAAAGATTGCCAAAGACGCCGCCGCCGCTGCCACGGCGGCCCCGCTCGCCTCCTGCTCGCAGGTGGTGTCTAAAAGCATTAAGGTAGCGTTGATTGTGCACTTATTACCAAAGGCCTTGCGCGTTGCGTTTTGTAAATAATCTTTGTAACGAGTGTTTCTATTATTAAAATATTTAAATGCACAAAAGAATTTCTTATGATCATCTTCCAATGCAGCGCCAAACCCCAGGAAGCCCATTCACGAAAATGTACCTGTCCCTGGTATAATTTATTTTGTCGTGAGAGTACCGCTTCCCAGGTACGTCACAATATATATCGTTGGCCACACGTTATCCACGCCATTTGTAACGTTGTGATAACGTGCTATCGACGTTGTGTTGCAGAGGCGGTCTTGTTCGGGTTGATCCTCGCTGCCATCCTGATCCCACTGCTAATATGCTTTCCTGATCGGGGCTTGTGGGATGTGGAGGAACGCGGCGTGAAGAAACTGCAGTTCCTGCGCGTGTCGCGCGACCCGCGGCGCTACGTGCGCCCCGAGGAGCAGACGGCGCTGCTGTCGCCGCCGCCATGCGCGCCCCGCCCCCGTGGCCACTCCGCGCCCCCACCGCCGCCACCGCCGCCGTTCCCGCCCCCGCCGCGCATGCTCATGCTGGTGACGTCGGCGCCCGCGCACTACGAGCGCCGCCAGGCCATCCGCGAGACGTGGGGCGGCCGCAGCGAGGACGCGCGCCTCGTCTTCGTGCTGGGACGCGGCCGGGAACCGGCAACCCAACCCCCGGTGAGCAACACACACAGAGACTGCGCAGAACACAGACGGTCTCAGACGTGTTATATTAACTTTTTAAAGCCAGAATTATATATTATTGCAAAATTGTTTAATTTGGGGTTTAATATTCTCATATAGTGGGTTACATGATATTCATTTTTATTTGTTATTTTCTGTCCTCATTCACAAGTTAAGGCCTGGTATATAAATTTAACGCTATGCTCTTACACAGGCATATGGTGAAACACTAAACATAATGTTCTAATATAACACGAAGGGATAAAATGGCATTTATAAATATATTCTTCCTCCGCTGCCGCTACCTCATCCACCCCTCCTCCTCTGTAGTCTCGTATCCACCCACACCCCTACCCTCGTCCCCGACCTCTCCACCATCATCGATATAACGTTCGTCCTGCCTCAATATCGACCTCTGTCTCCATCTCTCTCTCTCTCTCTGTCTGTCTGTCTCTCTCTCTCTCTCTCACACACACACACACACTCTATGCAATCACCTTCTATCTAGCGAACGCCCCGCCCTTGGCCCCACCTGTGCGTCAGCCTCCATTCCCACTTCCACCCTCACATCCATCCCCACCTCCACTTCGGCGTCCGTCTGTCTCTGTGACTCCTCCGCCGTCCTGCTTCTCCACCGCGCTTTCCACCTCGGTTCCGCCTGCACCTTACCTCCATCCCTGTTCTTGTGTCCGGCCAACCCTTGCCAGGCCATCGCTTCGGCTCTCGCCTCCCCCCAAATTCCCGCCTCCGTGATCGACTCCACCCTGCAACGCCCGAACCTGTAGTATAAGTCACACAACCAAAAATGATGTTTCGAGATTGAATGAAATCAAAATAAAAAAATCACTGTCCACCAAAAATATGTAGCAAAATTAGTGTGTACGAAATTGTTTTAGAAATGTACCGCTAGGCTCAAAGTGTTAAACTTACAAATTATGGTTTAGGCCTTTTATAATTTGCTACAGTAAATTAGTACACAGGATGGTTGAAAAGTAAATATACAAAACGGTTAGGATATGTAGAGAATATGAAGATGTCACGATGGCAACAAATTATTCTATGACGCACATGTGACATCAGGCCACGTCACAACACAGCGACGACACGTTGGATTTTTGCGGCACACAAGTCAGCCCACGGTCGTGACATTGCTTATCGCCGGTAGTCCGAAGGCTTCCCGCTGGATGTGCTGCGGAAAGCCGCATTATTCTTAGTAGAAGTGTCGCAGAATCGGCCCCTTTCCACAGTGTGTAGAATCCGCCTGTTCTGACCCAAAGAGTTTGTGAAATAATCTACTTTTAACTACTTTCGCTGAGTATTCACAAACCCGATAGTTGGACGGGAGCTGTATCACGAAACTATTAAGAAACAACATTACAGCCATCTAATAAGAGAAATACAAGGTTAATAGAAACGTACATTCTACGTAGCGTACTATTTTTTAACTAGAATGAGAAATAGTAACCAGATGACCAATACAAAGTAGGATAATAATTTTTTAATAATAACCACTGTCCAATTGTCAAATTCTAGCAAAAGACGAATACTTTGAAAACATCATTAAGGTTGTAGTTACCTTCATACGGCAGATTTGTACCGCCTTCGAATTTCCAAACGCATGCGCCAAAAAAGGACAAAAAAATTGTGTGCTCGTGTAGATGTTGATGTGCCGCGGCATTAAAACGTAACCAACGAGTCACCTTAAATAGCGCTTAAATAAGAGTTTCTAAATGAGAGATTAGCCGAATGTGGGACGTGAGAAGCGCAGGTCATCCCGTTAGTTATCAGAGCTCTGTATTTTTGTTCCGGAAAAATATTGTTAAGATTGAGGTCATTTAATAAGTTCTCAGGTCATTCAAAAGACTGGGAAGTAGAAGAACTTCATTTGGAACAGCCCACATTTTGCTTAACGTATTGTAGAAATACCGAAAGTCTCTAGATCTATTCCCTAGGAAGTTGGTAGACCCGGTAGACATTATATTCAAACGACTCACGACGATTTTAGTCGTTAATTAGAGAAACAACAAGAATAATAATATAATAATAATAATTAGGAGTAACATAAAATACCTCCTTTCTCTGTGTATTATTATGAATGCACAAAGCCATTTGTGGTCTTTTTGGTACTACTGCAGTCCCTAAAGCAATTCTATTACTGTGAAGTCCCCAAGAGCTCTGACAGGAGATATGTCGGCTGATGCAAGGCCGTCGTAGAAGAGCGAGATTTGCTTTGTCGCAGGCGGAGGTGTTCGAGGAGTCGCAGCGACACGGAGACCTCTTGGTGGAAGACTTCACGGACGCGTACCACAACCTGACGCTCAAGACGCTGTTCCTGCTCAAGTGGGCGGTGCGCGAGTGCCCGTCGGCGGCGTTCGTGCTCAAGACGGACGACGACATGCTCATCAACACGCGCGGCCTGGTGCGCGCGCTGCCGCGCTGGGTGGCGCAGGCGCGCGGCGGGGGCGCCAACGGCCGCCAGGTGGCGCTGAAAGACGCGGCGGCCGGCGACCCACTCGCTCCCGAGGCCCCGCCCCCGCTAATCTTCGGCTACGTGTACCATCGTTCGCCGCCGTTTCGCGATGTAAGATCCAAATTGTAAGTTGGTACAATGCAGAATTACCGCATGTCGTAGTTCAGTGGCGACATTATTGCATTCGCAGCAGTGTTGACCGGCAAGTCCTCTTGGGTTCCGGAAAAGGGCATTGATAAATATAGCGTGAAAGAGGCGATATTGTGGTTGCATCTTATGTATTGTAACAGGATGGACGCACGCGTCAGGTTGCGACGCGAATTTCAATATTTTATTCAATGTTACGTGGCTGTAAAGAGGCCTGGGAATGTGCATTTTTCACTACCTGCGATGGTGTAGGGAGCGTCGGGGACGCGGAGGCAAGGAGCTCTATTGTCTCGGCACAGGCGCGTCACGACCGCATCCGCTGACTCACCGGGAAATACGGACGCCGCCGTCTCCTAACCCGGCAATTCAGCTGATGCCATTTTCTATAAATTCTCTAATTTAAAAAAATTGGGAAACATTGACATTGCAACATGATAATATTGGAAATATAAATTTTTAAAATATGTCATGTAGATTTAAAAAAAACTATTACTCTTGCGGTACATGTTTGAAAAAATGCTGTTTATAAAAATAAACATTTCCCAAAAACGTATCGAATATTTTGTCTTTACTTTTTTTCTCAGGCAAATTATTGACTCCAATGACGTAGGCCTAACTTTCTTTGAGCTCTCTTTTTTTGTAGAAAATCTTCGATAACATTTGATGAGGAGGACGGTGCGCAGGTATGCCCCGCACTGGCTATTCCCTGAGAGAGTCTACCCCGACTTCGTGTCCGGGTGTGCGTACGTAATGACCGGAACCTCCCTGGAGCTTCTCTTCCAAGAGGCCTTGGACACGCCCCTGCTGCCGCTGGAAGACGTCTTCCTCACCGGGATTGTGGGTGGTAGTCGACTCGGCATTCCACTGGTAAGTCCCTTTCTTTCACTTTCACTTTGTCCCCCTCTTTCTTTTTCACCAGACTGATAGGAACTTGAACTGAATGATCATCACTCCCTCTCTTTTACTCTAGCTTGGTCACCCCCTATTTTTAAATTTCTCACTTCACAACGCAGAACAAAGTATTGCAGAGTGTCGAGCACCGGAAATATACTATATTCTGACCGAAAACTATTATTCTCAGGCCCTGCTTATAAAATGGAAAAATATTGTTTCTATATGTAGTAAACCAGCATAACCGAGCAGACGTTGTTCTGCTCTCTCTCTCTCCTGACCTCTCCCACTCTTCTTTTGTCTTCCTCTCTCTATCTCTGAGTCTCTCTATCTCTTTCTGTCCGTATCTCTACGTCTCTCTCTCTCTCTCTCTCTCTCTCTCTCTCTCTCTCTCACACACACACACACACACACATACACAGTTCGTCCTGTCCTTCTCCGCCTTACCCTGAGTCACACGGTAACTCTACATATAAGATTTCTCTACAAATATGTTCAATGTAACCTAATAGTGAATAAAGAAATCTGATACAGCGGTTCGGTACAATTCTGGGTCGTTAAAAGTAATGGGGCGCAGCGTAATTTTAGTTGTTAGATTAGATTGCTGTAAAATAGTTAAATTGAGCGAAACAAAATTCTTAAAGTGGAGATTTCAACACTTAATCTTATCTACATTAAAAATACTTTAGATATAATTTTGTGGAGTTATGTTTATTTATAAAGTTTCTATTTCTATAGTTTTAACGTAAAATTGACCATATTCGGGGTTTTGTGGCATACTGAGTCAAATACGTAATGTTTGATGACCATAAAACTGTTGCGGGGTATTGAGGGCACCATTTCAGCCATATATCCTTTGATACAAATAACATTAAATATTATTTAATATTTATTTTCTAAAATATATTGAAAAAGGCCAAAAACGTAATATACGGGTTTGTGGCACCCCTAAACCCATTTTAAAAACCGTTTTATTGATGCTGAGGCTCTTGCATCGAATACTAACATCTTTCACTAATTCATTGGTTTCTATTTTTTTCGATCAGCCTAATGTAACGCCCATAACTTCTCGGGATATGTCGGGCGCCAGGTTCAGTTCCTGTAACGATTGGATGGA